GACGGCATTAAATGACATGGCAATAAAGAAAATTATAATCTCCTTTAAATCACAAACTGTAAGGTGTATTTTTTTGTTTTATGGCAATATTGTATGTTTCCTTTTCACGTTATCTCATCAAGCTCAATATAACGGCATGGTTTTGCTGCTGATTTAGATTTAGGTGGATAGTTGTGAATTGTATTATTATGGTTAATTTAATGGAAGGTGTCTTCATCTTCAGGAAAGTGTCGTGGTCTGCGTACCGCCAGGAAGCTCCGGAACCACCGCCGTGAGCAGAAATGGCACGATAAACAATACAAGAAAGCTCACCTGGGAACCGCCCTGAAGGCTAACCCCTTCGGAGGAGCTTCTCACGCCAAGGGCATCGTCCTTGAGAAAGTGTGAGTGAAGTAACTGAGATAAGCTAGCAGATCATTGAGTCTGTTAGCCCTAACTTGTATTCTTCTACCTGCTGAAGTCTCTATGCACCCGATAATTTTAAAAATTGGCTCCTAAAAGATTAGAAGAGTTTTAAATGTATTTAAGATGGATTGAATGGCCTGCATAGTAAGTTTTTAGCTATTTCTCTACAGTGGCGTGGAGGCCAAGCAGCCCAACTCTGCCATTAGGAAGTGCGTGAGAGTCCAGCTCATCAAGAACGGCAAGAAGATCACGGCCTTCGTTCCCAACGACGGCTGCCTCAACTACATCGAGGTAAATGACTTTGGTTGGAAGCTGTAAAATGAACCCTTTTAATGCTTTATGGAAACCTAGAGATGCCTTTATTTTTTTCTTTTGCTGGGGAACTTTTAAAATGTTTTTTAACCATCTTTAATCTGCCTTTTCTGGTTCTGCAGGAAAACGACGAAGTTCTGGTGGCAGGTTTCGGTCGTAAGGGTCACGCCGTGGGTGACATCCCTGGAGTCCGTTTCAAGGTGGTCAAAGTGGCCAACGTGTCTCTGCTGGCGCTTTACAAAGGCAAGAAGGAGAGACCCAGGTCATAAACAGGAGACAGAAAATAAAATAAACATGTTTTCAATTTCAGTCTGATCCGGTTTGGTTTTTTGTTCCCTTCATCTCACACTGTAGAAAATTTAAGATGCACTCACACTTTTTAGGACTGTTTTGCTTATTAAGCAGCAAATGTTAAACCCTTTTACTCCAGTCTTTGTAGCTTTACACGTAAATATGTTCATGTTGCTGCAGTCTGGACATTAGATGTCGCTGAAAATTACACACTAGCTTTAAGTATAAACAGTAAAAGGTTAAGTAATTATTTATTTTTAAATATTCATTTAAAAGTGTCTTTTTTTTTCGGTACCAGTGGCTCGGTTTTTGGACCGTAGGCTGACGGGGAAATTGGGTACGAAGAGGGGGAGAGACATGCGGCAAAGCACCACTGGGCCTCCATACATGGGTCATGTGTGCTAAGCACTGTGCTGCTGAACCAGATATGCAAATGTCAATTTTTAAAAGTTGGTCAACATTTTTTAAATATATTTTCACATTTTTTTTTCCAGTTATTTCTGGTGTGAATGTTTTTTTGTTTTTTTTTTCTTCAAATTTTTCCATTTACAAAACATTTTCTTTACTGGAAACAATAATGGAAAGAAATTGATTCCATAGCCTCTTTACAGCCTGATGGCAGCGTATATGAAAAATATCAAAAGTTTATTCCAAGAAAATTTAATTGTCTTAATTTGATCTTTATGTCAAATTAATATAAGCAGCGCTCAGAGACAGAAAGCTCTAGAGTGTAAACATGCTGAGAGTCACCTGACATTCTATTTGTTTGGAGTCATGAACCCATTTGGTGAGTGAGAGTAAATATAGTAACGGGTGTCGGATCTCCTTTATTGCTTCCAGGAAGCTGCAGCTGAAACGCTGCGCTTAGACTCTGAAAGGGTATGACTTGTTAAATGTTTTGATTGACCGTTTACCTGTGGAAGATCAGAGAGCTGCTTTGCTGATGCATGAAGCGTCGCCGGCATGAAGCGGCAGTTTGTTCTGCTCTTCAGCTGAGCAACATCAAACGAAGAGGATCTTTACTCTGGTAAGTTTAAATCTGTGAGGTAATCTAGGTTTTTTTTCTTTACCCTCCAAATCTTTTAAAGACTAAAGTTTGTTTTAGTTTTTTTTTTTCTTTTTTTGCAAAGGGGAACTCTTGCTTCTCTATAACATTGAAAAATACCAGACATGTTGCAGAATTCAGGAAGCTGGTCAAACTAAGAATCAAAATCATCATTGCTTTTTGTCAGGGTTGCTGCAGTTATCAAGTCTTCCCAAACATCCTCAGCTGGATTAAGGTGTGAACTTTGACTAGGCCGTTTTTACACCTAAACATCCTTTCATCACAGCTGAGTGCATCCAGCTCTACTCATTGATGGCTCTAGTTTTTGGATTTTTAGATCAGGTCCCGGATCCTGCACAACCAAATCAGATGGCTGGACTTCCACGCATGCAGCAAAGTTCTACAGAGTCCAGTTAATAACCCAGTGATGTAATCCAGGTGCATTGAAGCATGAGATTAATCTAAAAGCTGCAGCATTTCAGCCCCAAAAATCTAATGTTTGTTAAATCCTCAGAGGCTTTTTCCTGCCTAGGGTTGTGCTACATTTCTTATAATTTGACTCAAGGCAATGGCTTCCTTTCCTGAAAAGGAAAAGCCAGTGTATGCTGGAAATTACTCTGGATCATCACTAACCCTACTTTGTGAAATGGGCCCTCAAAGGTCCTGGATTTTATTTCAATCTGTCAGTAAAAAGGGACTTGATGAATAAAACCTGCCGTGTCAAAAATCTAGCAGTTAAGAGAGGCAAATTTATCCAATTTATGAACTGCTTAGTGTTGGTCTGACACATAAAACATCAATCAAATTAAGTTGATGACAAACAGTGGAGAAGTTAGTAGTATGAATACAGGCTATGGATACTTGTGTTTGATCATTTCAATTACCAGGACAAGATCCGAGGAGGGATGTTTCTCAGATGATGCAAACAAAGAAGGGAACGTGTTTAAGCATTAACAGAATTTATTCCAGTCATGGTTAACAAAATCATTGCGAAAAGCACGAAGATCCGGCCTTCTATCTCAGGTCCTTTTACAACCTGAGCTGAGGAACCAGCGACGCGTCGGGGCTTCTACATGCTTCTCAGTTCACCCAGAAGTCAGCCAGCAAGGAGGTGCTTCTCAAGCTGCAGTATCCCTCCTTTCTCCTCCACGCTACAGCGTTACCATATATGGTGATGCTGGAGCCTCTCTGGTCATCAAATGTCATCATAAGAATATCCATTTGGCTGACTTACACAGAAAGTGAACAGATTCAACAATAGACACATAAAACAGTTAATTAAAACAGAAAATAAAAGAAAAATTGAGAATACAATAGATGGTAATTATTGGCTAAGATAATTTCTGAACAAAATTAAACATGGAAACAGATTTACAGTTTGGTGGTTGGACCAAAAAGATCCTTTCATGCATGCAAATATTCATTTTTTAAATCTTTCAATTTAATTATGCAATTTAATGCTGTAAATGTGCCCTAACTGTACAGTTTTTTGCGTTTTTACCTAGTAATAACACTTTGCTATAATACATATGATGTTTTTTCCAGCTTCAGACTTCTTCCAAACTACGTCTCGGGGGAGTTTTGTCTGGATGGATCAGTTCGGGTTGGAGGATGGTGAGGAAGATGAGATGCTTCAGTACATAATTGAACAGAGTCTGCTGGAGAGCAGCAGGAAGAGGGAAACGGTCAGAGCGTCCCCAACAGGAGACAAGATGGGGTCAGTTGAGAAGGACAAACCCGAACCTAAGAAGTTCTGCTGGAGGGAAGAACCTCCATCACCGAGTGTCTCTAACAGAACAAACCAAAAGGTTTCCAACTGAGGAAACTGATGCAAACTAATTATATAATAATGTTGCTAAGATTATCCCTATGAGAAATAAGCAGACAGTTCACAACACATGTAATCTCAAATAACACTTAAATAACCCATTTTCTGATAGCATTTACTTAAAAATAGTCAGTTACTTTAACACAATAGTTTCATGTTTGCAGGGTAAGACATAAAACAATCATGTTAAAGTAACTAAATATGATTAAGTAAATACCAAAGGTGGTTTCATTATTTTTTTAGGTGTGATGTGCATGCTGCCTTGCAATAACTGACAGTTTTTTAATGTGTGCCAAAACTGTGCCGTCCATAGTCAGTTTTCTGTTAACTTAATTAATTCGTTTGAATCACGGCTTTTATAAAATCGAGAAAATTGCAGGTGTATAAGATATCTAACAAAATGACAAATACTTTAAAACTGAGAAAAGCAGTGGAATGTTGCAGAGTGAGGAAAAGGGGTCCCTATGTCCTCCAGCAGTCTAAGCCTATAGCAGCATAACTATAGAGATAGCTCAGGATAACCTGAGCCACTCTAACTAGAAGCTTTATAGAAAGCAGCTTTAGGTACTAATCTCATGTCTGTGAGTAACCATCTTAAACTCCTAAATATTCAATAAAAAAAGGCACAATTTATAAGAGATCCGGAATAGAAGTATCTGGATGCATCCTCTGATTTAAAACCAGAGTTTCTTTGTTTTCATACAGCAATGATTTAGCCTCCTCAGACATCTCCAAGATCTTCTCCGCGATTAAACAAGGTAAAGCAAGATGAAAACACCCCTGACATCAATTATAATACGAATAATATGAATAACTACTACGAATAATTTGGTAATATTTCAGTAAATAATCACTCAACCTTTCCTCCAGGTAATGAGAGGCTTCTGAGGGATCTGTGCGTCAAGCTTAAGGACAAGTTTATGCAGACTGACAGCAGAGGATGGACTCCGCTCCATGAAGCAGCAGTTCAGAGCAACGAGATCATCCTGGAGCTCACGCACAAAGGTTTGGATGATTGATAGCCAGCCCAGCTTACTCAATAAGAACCAATACTTTGCTGCAGCAGCATAATTTGTCGTTGACTTTGAGTTTGACATTCAGTTTGTTAAGCATGAAGCATCGAACCATGTGTTTGTCATCTGCTTTGATTGAGAGTCCCATTAGCTCCTGACTGGACACAGGAAGTTCTGTTCTCTTTCATTTTCATGCAAAATGGCTCTTATTAAGTTACATACACAGCCACCTACATGCAGACATGCAAACATAAACCGTGAAAGCGCAGTATGGAATAAAATAGTAGTATTAATAATAATCGATCAGTTCAATACATAGATAAAATAACAACAGCTTTCATTATCATTGCAAACAAATAAGTTGGAAAGTTCCAATTGATCCGCTAACACAGGGGTCTGCAACCTGTGGCTCTTTGGACCCTCTTAAATGCCTCATTAAGGAAAAGTCCGCTCATATTCAGAATTCAAATTCCTGAAAGTTCTTTAAATCTTGAAATGATTCC